AAAAAAAAAAAAAAAAACCCCCCCCCCCCCCCCCATATAATGACTTGTAGTGTTTTTTAAAGAATTCTCTTCTGCTCATCAAGCCTGCATTTATTTGATCATAAATACAAAAACACTAAACAAACAAAAAAACCGGTAATATTGCGATTTTTTTTTACAATTTAAAATATTGTTTTTCTGTTTTAATATACTTTAAAATATAATTTATTCCTGTGATGCAAAGCTGAATTTTCATCAGCCATTACTCCATAGTCTTCAGTGTCACTTGATCCCTCAGAATTTATCCCTCTGATTTATTATCAATATGCTGATTTATTATTATCAATGTTGGAAACAGTTGTGCTGCGCTTAAAATTGTTTTGGAACCTGCGATACTTTAAAAAATACAAAATACAAATTTCGAACAAATAAGTCTTTACTATCACTTTTTTCAATTTAACACATCCTTGCGGAATTAAAAGTATTAATGTCTTTCAAAAAAGAAAGAAAAAAAAGTATCACAGTTTCCAACTATTTTTTAAAGCAGCACAACTGTTTCCAACATTGATAATAAATCAGCATATTAGAATGAAGGATCATGTGACACTGAAGACTGGAGTAATGATGCTAAAAAATTCAGCTTTGCATCACAGGAATAAATACATTTTAAAATATATTAAAGCATTCACATATTAAAGATGTTCATAATATTTGCGCTGCAATATTTGACCGGAACGATAAAAATGACGGTCATTTTCGTCAGTTAACTTACAACTTGTTAGATGTAGCATTCTACTCGCTTTAAATAAGACAGTTAATTGTAATAATGTTTCACAATATGACTGTTGTATAAATAAATAAATAATATACACACACAATATAACTATACTGTATTTTTGATCAGATAAATTCAGCATTGAGCATAAGAGACTTCTTTCAAAAACATATAAAGTTACTGACTTCAAACTTCTGAACAGTAGTATATTTTCTACTGTACACTAATAAAACTGTAAAGAGCTAAAAATCTTCCTATGGCTATGTCATATTTTCTATCTAATTGTCATTTAATATTGTGGGACATAAAGCCTCGAGCCTCTTTATTTGCTTTTTTAACAGTCCTCTAGTGAATCAGATGTTTCCTCACTGCAGAATATTACAAGAGGAATCAAGTGGATAATAACAGAAGCTAGCTTTGACATGTTTCATATTCATTAACTTGTCAAAAACACATTTGCACTGTAGTAATTATGACTGTTATCTTGTTTTGCTGTATTTTGGCATGTTTCAAAGATAATTATGATGGCTGTTTTGTTAATAAACAGAATCTCTTGGCAGAGGAAGCTCATGCATTTGGGCCTTTTTAAAAAGCACTTTTCTACATGCAGGATGTTCTTAAAGTTTCATAATTTTTAATTGCTTAGTTAATACGGTATCTAATCAAGAAATCAAAGTCCTGCCCCATACTTAATTCCGTCTTTGCCCATCTCTTTTTTGTTTCTCTTTGTCTTTATTTCTTTCTGCCTGCATCGGCCCGTACAGAAACATGGCTTTCAACTTGCTGTCATATCATGCTGGATGTGGAAGCACAAGTCTGGCTTTGATCTTCAAACAGGTCTTGTGTCAGTGTGGGATGAAAGCTGAAGGTTCAGACGTGTACATACACTCCCAGAGGAAGTCACGTGACTATCAGCACAGGTTTTATAACAGTGCTTCTTAAAACAACAAGAAAAGATGTATTAAATGTTCTTAAAGACAGAAACACATTTTGCTTAAAACAACAGTGTCTGACATGTCAGGTCACTGCACTAAGCTAAAGAAAGCCATTTTCTATAAGAAAGTGAAGGAAGTGCCTCTAAATCCAGTTTCATGTAGCAATAACCTGGCCACATCAGAACTATAGCTCTGACATAAAATAATCAGATTTGTTAGATTTGGGGTATAAAGATCCTTTTTTTATTTCCTCTGAGTAAATTCTGTGGTTTCAAAGATCATATTTTACTGGACACTAGCACCAGTGGAGGAAAATGAAAGAAACACAAATGGCCTTTTGCTTATACGTTTGCTAGTTGTTTTAGCATGTTGCTATGCAGTTGCTAGGGTATTCTTGGTATTTTCTATGGCTTTTCTAGGTGATTGCTAGTTTGCATATCACTGCCTTAAAGGGATAGACCCTCCCATAGACAGCAAGGTAACTACCACGTTCAAGGTCCAGAAAAGTACCAAGATGATCGACAAAGTAGTCCGTGTGACATCAGTGGTCCAACTGTAAAGTTACGAAGCTACGAGAAGCCCTCATATTTCATCAACAATATCTTAAATTGTGTTCCGAAG